CCACGTACACCTAAGGTGGCGGGTTTGAATCCCCAGCCTGGACCCGCCAAACAACAATGACGGCTGCAACCAAAAAATAGCCGGGCGTTGTGGTGGGCACCTGTGGTCCCAGCTACTTGGGAGGTGGAGGCAGGACACTCACTTGAGCCCAGGAGTTGGAGGTTGCTGTGAGCTGTGATGCCACGGCACTCTACCCAGGGAGACAGCCTGAGGCTCTGTCTCAAAAAAAAAAAAAAAAAGTATCAATAGGCTGAAAGTCCTGTTGGTGTGAGATAAAGCTGTATTAAGAGTAATGGAGGGAGAAATGTATCACTTTATTAAAGAGACTTACTACTATATTTACTTATATCAGGTTGCCGTATGACATTTTTATGCATGCATTGCCTTAATTTTAAGATCATGTTATACATTCTGTGGGTTTTTTTTTTTCATTTCTACACTGAGTGTATTACACATTTCAATGAATCTACTCATTCTCTTCTCTCTTACAAAACCAAGGAGACAGACCCAATTAAAACAATAAAAACAGGCTCAGCACCTATAGCTTACCAGCTAGGTTGCCAGCCACATACACTGGAGCTGGCTAGTTTGAACCCAACCTGGGTCTGCTTAACAACAATGACAACTACAACCAAAGAATAGCTAGGCATTGTGGTGGGCCCTGTAGTTCCAGCTACTTGGGAGGCTGAGGCAAGAGAATCAGTCAAGCCCAGGAGTTCGAGGTTGCTGTGAGCTGTGACACCATACCACTCTACCAAGGGTGACATAGTGAGACTCTGTCTCAAACAAACAAACAACAAAAAAAAAACCTCTGAGTGAATTAATAATGAGCACAAACATTGATGGAAGATGAAAGTCAATGATTTTCAAAGGCTATTTTTAAAGTTATTATCTTTAACAACAACAATGAAAAAAAGACTGCCTATAAGGTAATCTTTTAATTATAGACAATCAAAAGGAAAAATGTTGCCCCCGCATAAGTGGTTAAGATGTAAGTCAATGATTTTCAAAGGCTGTTTTTTAAAAATTTTATTTTATTAAGTCAAATACACATAGATCATGAATACATTCATGCATATGTGGGGTACAATGTGCTGATTTTTTTAATACAATCTAATGTGGTTACATTAAACCAATCAACATATCTTTCACCCCATTCACTTGATTATTGTGCCAAAACATCTATGTTCTACATTTCACAGATTTGACTTGTACCTTTCTCACCTGTTTCATAGGTGTGATTCTGCCTTTTACCCTAACTCTGTCAAACCTCCCCCCTCCCTTCCCTTCCCACTCTACTTCTCCCTTTTATCCTGGGCTATAGTTGTGTTCTATCTTTTATAAGGAAGTATGAGTAAATATAAGTAGGTTTCATAGAAGTACTGAGTACATTGGATACTTTTTCCTCCATTCCGGAGACACTTTACTTGGGAGGATATGTTTCAGATCCCTTCATGTAAACATAAAAGAGATAAAGGCTTCATATTTTTTTTCAGAGGCTATTTTAAAAGTTATTATCTTTAACAACAACAATGAGAAAAGACTGCCTATAAGGGAATCTTTTAATTATAGACAATCAAAAGGAAAAATGTTGCCTCCACATAAGTGATTACAAAAATAACTCAGTGACTGAGTTACTTTTTCCTTAAGGATGTGTAGACGTTATACAGAACATAGAACAGATTACAAAGAACAACAAACTCAAAGGTGCATGAAATGAAAATTTATTTTATTATAGATGTTTGAAGTACTGATCACATTAGGTGGCAGACACCAGATTTCATGACCTCAGAGACTTCTCATTAATCTTTGGTGGGCATATACATGCTGGTATCTGCTAGAATCTGAGCTATTTGGCCATTGCCTGTATTAGCAGCAAGACTTTGGTGGTCTGAATAACTTACTTTCATTTACTTCTGATTCAGTCTGTGCCAAGCAAGACATCAGCTCTGATACAGCACAAAACATACAGAAATTATTTAATAGCTTCCCCATAGTTCTGAAAAATTCCATCAAGCCATCTCATTCTCCTATGTTTGTATAGTCTTCAGTCATTTCAAGCATCATTGGTCTCAGGTAGCCATGAAAACAAGTAACTCTCACAGAGTGAAAAATGACAGCAAACCAGTATACTGAATGGAGCAATAGAACTAAAGTCAGTGTCCTTGAGGCTGGGATGAGGACACTGAAAATCAGAGGAATGACTCTGTGTCTTTTAAATGATAAGAAGGCCAATTCTTTTGATTTTGAGCCACATTAGCATCATATAGTCAATTGTCCTAAGAAATCCATTCTTTAATAGAAAGATTTCCCCCCACCAAAGTCATTGATTAGGCTCAAGTTCTGTGAAAAGCAAGAAGGCGGTTGATTCCATACTGTATCTGCTTAGTCTTAATGCTGTAAATTATTGGATTCATAAATGGGGGGAAGAGGAAGTAGATATAGCTCATAATGATATGAACAACATGTGGCACATGTTTCCCAAATCGATGAATGAGGGTTAACCCAGTCACAGTGACATAAAAAACCAGAACACAGCTAACGTGTGAAACACAAGTATTCAGGGCCTTAGCCTGCTCCTTACCTGAGGCAATTCCCATGACAGTCTTAAAGATTAGGATGTAAGAGATAAGGATAAGCATAGAGTCCAAAAAACCAGTTAATGAAACGAGGGCTATAGGATAGAGTCTATTGAAGGTTATGTCAGCACAGGCCAGTTTGATCACATCCTGGTGTAGGCAGAAGGCATGGGAAAGTACATGAGATCTGCAGTAAGGGAATCCAGAGAGGGTGATAATTATGGGCACGATTAGCATAAATCCCCTCATTAGAACCCCCAGACCTATCTTCACCACCTTAGCATTGGTGAGAATAGAGGTGTATCTCAGGGGATTACGGATGGCAACAAAGCGATCATAGGCCATGATGAGCAAGACTCCAGACTCCACAATAGAGAGTGAGTGGATTACATAAGCCTGGAAGAAGCAAGCTCCATGGTTTATCTCCCTGTGACCCAGCCAAAGAACACCAAGCACGGTGGGCATTGTTGTCAAAGTCACTCCAAGGTCTGTGGCTGCCAGTATTGCCAGAAAATAGTACATGGGCTCATGAAGAGTGTGGTCTTCTCGGATAAGAAAGAGGAGGGTGCCATTGCCAAGGAGTATAGAGACATAGATAACAAAGAAAGAAATGGAAATCCAAGGATGAAAGATCTCCAGACCTGGGAATCCAGTCAGTAGAAAAGGGGCAGTGCTGATATTGGGCCACATGTTTGAAACCTAAGGAGAAACAAAGAAAGCTCTCTGCAGACCAGCTCTGTTCAGTAGAAATAGAATTTGAACCACATAATGTGATTTTAAATGTTCTAGAAGCCACATACTCACGATCTAGACTACACCCCTAAATTCTAAGATTCTACTCCAGTTTCTTCTTGCGATCCACTCAGACATCATACTTCATCAAAGAATTGTTTAAAATAGCAGTTATTTTACACAAACTGTAAAAATAATTCATGAATTGAAAAAGAAAGTCTGTTCTCTGACTAGCTCTTTGTTAAATTGGTGTGGTTGGCATAAACATATCCTCCCCCTCCAGACTTCCTATCCCAATCCCTGAGGCTGTGAGTATGATGAAATATCATGCTTGGACATATATAGATGTAATTAAAATTACTGATCAATTCACTTTGCATTAATTTAATGGGAGATTACTTAGGAGGACCTAATTTAATCTTATGCGCCCTTAAAAGCAAAGAGTTTTCACAGACTAATGATGAAATAGGAAACCAAAGAGAGTCAAAGTTTGAGCAGGATTTATGGGGAAGTTGCTGGGTGGGTCACAGAAGAATGATTCCAAGGTGCTTTTAGAAGCAGAGAAAGGGACCCAGCTGACAGTCTGCAATAAAATAGGGACCTTGAAGCTGTTTTAAGGGGACAGGGACATAAGAAGCTAAATTTGGGCAACAACCTGAATGAGCTTGGAAGGGGATTCTTCCCCAAAGCCTTAAAACAATAGCCCACCTAGCTAACACTCTGATTTTGGCCTAATTATAACTTTAAGCAGAGAATCTAGGTAGGTCTACTAGACTGCAGAACTATAGAACCCTGATATAACAAATTAGTATTGTTTTAAACAGCACAGTTTCTGATAATTTATTATGTAACAACAGAAAACTAATGAAGAGGTATTGCTATTATTCATATTCTGCTAAGAACAAACAAATAGTTATGGAATTTATATATGTTAGTTATTGTGCCCATTACTACTACTACAAAATTGTCACAGGGAAAATCCCTGGAAACCGTCAATGTGTTACAACACTAAACATTTGTTTTTTACTTATATTCATGGCTAGTAATTTAGGCTCTGCTTGGATGGGCAGCTTTGGTAATTTCTGATGCATTTTCTCAGGCACAGGTGTAGCCAGATATCATCTCCATCCAATTAAATAATTTCCTGTTCTTTTCTTCTTCCATCCATCACCCATTTCTTGAGTTTATTTCAATCTTGTCTCTCACTTTACTTTCTCCCTCTGATTAAACCCAGATGACTTTTGCAACATCTAGGCTTTAGCACAAAACTAAATATATGATTTTTGACTTTTATTTTCTGTTACTAGTCTCTCAGACCTACTGGCTCTAATTAACTTAATCTAGTTAAAGTATGGTTGCACTTCCAGTCCAATACTAACATTGCTTACCTGACGGCCTGCTATATTAACACATCAATTTCCCTGGAATCAATGACAGATTTTGACATACTGATAATGAGGTCATTTATGAAATGTTAATTATTTTGTTATTAACACAAAAATACATTAACTGATTGGTATGCTGATTGTTAAATTGACTTATGTAAGAACATTAACTTTCAAATAAACCTTATAATATCCTACTTGGCTTAGGTAAGCTGACAGTTGTGTAAGGTACAAAGCAGAAGAAGGAGAGGGCAGAAGAATCACATAGGTGGATGTAGACAGAAAGAAAACTGAGCCTAGAGAACAGCATTGGGAGGAGAAGAACATGTAATATAGAGACCTACAGACATCACGATGACCCCTGTGCATGTTCACTCCCAGTCAGTCTCTCTTTCTTTCCTTGCCTCTTCTAAAGTATTTTCCTATTGAAGGAAAAATACTCTTGATAGTGCTGGGCTAAGCAGAAAGTGTAGGTAGCAACTTAGACATCTTAATTTACCATTAGGTAAAAACGGCTGCTTTTCTGTGAGAAAAGGGCTTTTGGGATTTTCGAGGAAGTTGAACTTTTGTGGGACAATTTGGTACATCTGGCAGAATCCATGGATATAGATAGTTTGCATCATTCTCTTTACCCTCCTGTAAAATCTATGTGAAGTCTATGAAGATTCATCATCTTTCTTTTTCCCTTAATCAGCTACATTCCATTCTCCCACAAGGGCTAGAGTCTTACCTGGGGCATCAAGAATGAAGGGGAGACGGGTGCTGCCAGGTCTTGAAGTAGAAACTGTTTTGTTGAGAAGCTATCTTTGAAGACTGCTAACAAGATTAATTTGTGGGGTTATTTGTATATAAAATGACTCCCAAAGGTAGCTTCTGCTGCTGCATAATTAGGCTTCTGGGATATCTTTTTCTGGCTTTCTTTGGAGAAAGTGGCAGACCTCTAGAACTGTATTTTACACCCCCATGTTTCCTTTACAGAATAAAATCAAAATTGTAATTCCATCCAGCAGGAAAAAATCATGCCATCAAAACACCCCTTGTCTTTTTTTGATTCTCCACCTCAGAAAGAAGCTCTGTCATCCAAACTGCTTTTAAATTTGTCACTCCTGAATCCTGGAGCAAGTAAGCTCAGTAAACTTCGATGAAGCTCAATAATTCCCTGACACTTACCTTTCCTTGGTTCCAAATGAGATTGCTTATTACAGTACTTGGCATAGGCATTCTTGAAGTGATATTTTCTCACAAATGAGTACTGTGGATGAACTCTTTCATCAGTAAGCTTTTATCTGCCTCATGATAAGTCTTACCAAGGAGTCATGGTTCTTGCTTCTGGAGCAATAGAAGTTAAGTAAAAAAATTTCATTTTAAGTGTCCTGTAGTAAGGTAAAAATGAGGGCATGGTGTAGATATCCTTTCTATCTCTGGCTTTCTCTAAAGATGCATACCTGAAGGAAAATCTGTGATACTCATAGTTTAGCAGAGAGATATGAGAGTCTCTGTTGTCTTGTGTTAGTCTTGTATTCCAGAGTTGTCTCATCTTCAACCAGCCCATCTCCACAAAAAATTATAAATAAAAATCCCTGATTGCTGTTGCTAGTTAAAGACCCTCTTGTAACTGTGTTCTGCCCCAAAGATGTGTGCCACATACTGTGACCCCATGTCCCCCCTCCTCTCATCTTTCCAATCCCTCATTCCCATACTCCACCCCTAGTATTAGATCATCTACTGCCTTCATATTAGAATTGAGTACATTGGACTCTTGCTGCTCTATTCTCATTATTCCACCTCCATTCTGGTTAATACAAAAGATGTAGGGTGGCACCTGTGGCTCAAGGATTAGGGCACTGGTCACATATACTGGAGGTGTGGGTTCAAACCCAGCCCCAGCCAAACACTGAAGAAAAAAAAAAGATGTAAAGTCTCCACCTTTTTAAATGGCTGATTAGTATTCCACGGTATACAGATACCACAGCTTGTTCAACTATTCCTGGGTTAGTGGGCATCTAGGTTGCTTCCATGTTTTGATGACTATAAATTGAGCCTGGATAAACAGTCTAGTGCAAATGTCCATATCATAAAAGAATTTTTGTTTTTCTGGGAGATGCCTAGTAATGGGATTACAGGACCAAATGGGAGGTCTACTTTGAGTTCTTTGAGAGTTCTTCATACTTCTTTCCAAAAAGGTTGTATTAGTTTGCAGTCCCACCCCAGGAGTATAAAAGTGTTCCCCTCTCTCCACATCTGTACCAGAATCTGCAGCTTTGAGAATTAGTGATGTGGGCTATTCTCACTGGAGTTAGATGATATCTCAGTGGGGTTTTGATTTGCATTTCTCTGATGATCACGAATGATGAGCATTTTGTTAAATACTTCTTAGCCATTTGTCTGTCTTCGTCAGAGAAGATTCTGTTCATATCTCTTGCCCAGAGGTAGATGGGATTGTTTACTACTTTTCTGTTGATTAATTTGTGTTCTTTGTAGAATTTAGTTATCAATCATTTGTCATATTGGTACCCTACAAATATCTTTTCCCATTCTGGACGCGGTCTTTTTACTTTATTTGTGTCCTTAGCTGTGCAGAAGTTTTTCAGCTTAATTAAGTCCCATTTGTTAATTTTTATTGTTGCGATTGCTGCTGAAGTCTTTGTCATAAAATCTTTCCCCAGTCAAACATCATCAACAGTTTTCCCCACACTTTCTCCTATGATTTTTATTTTTATGTGTCTTAGATTCAAGTCTCTTATTCATCTTGGATCAATTTTTGAAAAGATTGAAAGGTATGGGTTGAAGTTCAGTCTGTTACATGTGGTTATCCATTTCTCCCAGCAGCATTTGTTAAATTCGAGTTCTTTCCCCCATCGTGTGCTTTTGTGTGGTTTATCTATGATTGGATGGCAAGTAGAGACTGGTTTCATCCCTTGGTTCTTTATTCTGTTCTATATGCTTATGTCTCTATTTTTGTGCCAATATCATGCTGTTTTGATTATTGTGGACTTGTAATGTAGCCTGAAGTCAAGTAGCATAATGTCTCTGACTTTGCTTTTATTACTAATAGCCTTAGCTATATGGAGCTTTTTCTGGTTTCATACAAAATGAAATACAGTTTTTTTCAGTTCTTCAAAGTATGATGTTGGTATTTTAATGGGGAATGTATTGAAACTGTAGATTGTTTTGGATAGAACAGACATTTTGACAATATTGATTCTTCCCAGCAAACAGCATGTTTTGTTTTTCCATTTGTTAGTGTCCTCTGCAATTTTTTTCCTTAGGGTTTCATGATTCTCTTTGAAAAGATCATTCACCTCTTTGTTCGGTAGATACCTAAGTATTTCATTTTCTTTGAAGCTTCTGTGAAGGGAATTGTGTCCTTGCTTTTCTTCTCAACTTGCCTGTTATTGGCATATACAAAGGCTACTGATTTGTGGACATTGATTTTATACCCTGAGACATTAGTGTATTTCCTGTTGAATCCCAGGAGTTTTGTGGTTGAGCTTCTGGAGTTTTCTAAGTATAAGATGATATCATCAGCAAAGAGAGACAGTTTTATTTCCTCTTCCCCATTTGGATGCCCTTTAT